ATGAAAGCATGAAATTTGCAGGCAAATGGATGGAACTAGAAAAAATCATCCTGAGTGAGGTAACCCAAACCCAGAAAGACAGTTATGGTATGTACTCACTCATTGGTGGATTCTAGATATAAAATAAAGAACAATCAGACCACAAAAAAAAAAAAAAATGTTTGGTGTAAAAGCAATTTAAAATGACTTTTTACAAATGCGGAGAAAGTTTGTTTGTATTAACTTTAGAAATATACTTGTATATAAAAATAGACACATTCACATATGCGTTATAATTAAAAACATATGTAAGATGGAGGAAAACAGTATTGGGCATCACCAGCCTGAGCAGTTTGACAAACCTAGTTTTTCCACATTTATAAGCATTTTTACTTTTCATAGTCTCCATACTGTGTATATATAACATTTTAAAATCATGAAGGGTTTTTTATTAAGGAGGTGCAAAAATTTTTGAAGTTTATTCTGAACACAACCGGTCAAGTCATCAAATCTGAAAGAAATGCAGAGAAGAATGAAATAGGAAAGAAAAGATGGGATGTAGGGAAGGAGAGAGAGAGAGAGAGAGAGAGAGAGAGAGAGAGAGAGAGAGAGAGAGAGAGAATTTTAGTAGTAAAAGGTCACGTCCAAATGACTAGCGGGTAATTTCTATTTTTAGAACAGTTCACCCCCACAATCTCACAGCAGTTGTGTGAGCACAAATGAAATTACAGGTACCTCCAGAGCCACACCTGGCACAGAAGCTACTAAAAATCCATATAAATAATTTTCTGCAAGGAATCAGCCAACTGACTGTTTAAACTCCCGCTGACATCCCCTGTAATTACTACTGTGGCTAGGGACGGTGGTTCCAGAAATAACTGATATGGCCGGTCTCACAGCAGTGGGCTCTCCCTGCTAACCTATCAAAATGACTGAGATAAGCCTCCTCGGTTTTGAATTTTTTTTTTCTCTAGCTGAAAACTTCTCGAACATCCACAAGGTTCACTAGAGTATGTCTACTTTCACAGCAATGGCCCTTCTTAAGTAAACTTACTAATTCATCTTTCACTTCGTGTTGTTTATGTCCGCAAACCTGCGTGGGCACTCCAGCAGCAGCCTTTGCCTTCTGCAGCGGGGAGACTTGGCAATCTGGAGTGTTTAATTAGTCTCACAAAAACACTGAAATGGACTTCCGGTTCCAATGCCCGCCCCTAGGCTGTGGCTGCTTGCCTATAGGAAGAGCCTGCCTCCTCAAGGACACAACCTAAAACGGCTCTCTCTCAGAACCGTTTCTGCGGCAACCATGGCCGCCTTTGTGGAGCTCAGTACCAAAGCCAAGATGCCCATCGTGGGCCTGGGCACCTGGCAGGTAGGTGTGCAGTCTTTGAACAACTGCTTCTTTCAAGTGAGAAGGGCTTCCTGGCATCCCTCTTGTTTGCACAGCCTCGGGGGTGGGGGGTGGGGGATGGGGAGTGGGGGAGTTGGGGGATGGGGGGATGGGGGGTGGGGTTGGAACCCTGGAGCCAGGACCCAATTTGCTTTCAGCTTGGGCACTTCTTCAGGCCTCAGAGCTCAGACTGGCTTTTCTCAGCAGGATGATAACTTCCCAAACCAGCATCAGGTACCCAGCTGTCCCTGGCCTTGACAGTGAACAGCAAACAACCGGCTCCAGGCAGTTTCTCTTTTTGTAAGCTTTTCCTCTGAATTACTTTACAGTTTACAGGGTTGGACTGTGTATTTATTTCTGTCTGAGTTATTTCAAGACAGACCACTGAGCTCCAAAATGACCCAGCTTCCCTTGCCGCCCAAGGTGAAGGACTCCATTTGGAGCGTCCTAGTGGCCTGGGAGCCTGTGGGAAAAGGGAGAGTCTCAGACCCCCGCCCAGGCTACTGAGTTGGCACCTGCACTTTATAAGGACCCCCATGTGTTCCCACACATTAAAGTCTGAGCAGTATCCAGATGACAGAGAGCCCAGGCTGGGAGTCAGCTCAGGTCCACTTTGGCTGTGTCCGTCTCTCCTAGCAAGTTGTTCCAAGGCCCATCCCAGTGCCTAGTGAAGCAGATTGCTCCAAATCAGAAATTTCACATCCATCAAAACAGTAAATAATCCCCTGCAGAACTCCAGGGAATCTACTCACCTGGAAATATCAGCTGAGACGAACTTTCAGAATTCCAGCAGCGATGTAGAGACTGTAAAGGAGTCGTTTTCAGGAGGAGCTGGGGCTGTTGGTGAGGACCATGTGCTGCTCATCAATGTGTGTGAGGAGAGTGAGGCTTGGGCCTGGCCCCCAGTGCCTCGGAGTGGCTGCCAGCAATTCCTTGTCTCCATGATGGTGTAGCTGTTGTTTCTACTGTATATGCTTCTCTACGTTTGATGACTACATAAAGAACTTCTAGACGTCGTGAGAGGTGGCTTTACTTTTTGTCTGAGACAGGCTCATGTAGCTCAGGCAGCTGTAGAGCTTAGTAAGTGGCTGAGACTGGCCTTAATCTCCTGAGCACCCCTCCACTTCTGCATCCCCAAAGCCTGAAATTACAAGCATAGGCCACCACACCCAGAGTCTGAGGGTATTTTTACTTTTATTTTTAGTCAGACAACGATGAGTTCCAGGCCGTCCTCAGCCTCACTGTCTTCCTGCCTTTGTCTCCCTCATGCTGGGATTCAGGCTTGCACTATGATACATGGTTAATGATGAGTTTTGAGGTGGTTTTTTTTTCTTCAGGCAGGGTCTCACTGTGTAGCCATGGCTAGCATGGAACTTGTTATGTAGAACAGACTGGCCACAAAAATCACAGAGATCAGCCTGCCTCTACCTTTATACTGCTGGGATTAAAAGCGTGTATTACCATGCCTGGCTTAACTTGTTTTCTGTTACATGTTTTATTTGTTTGTTAGTGTGGTTGTGTGCATGCAAACATGTGCATATACACACTCAAGTATCTTTATGCCATGGTGTGGATGTGGCCTTCAAAAGGATTATTTGTATGAGTCAGTTCCCTCCTTCTACCATGTGAGTCTGAGGATTGAACTCAGATCCTAAGCAGCAAGCCCCTTTACCTGTGAATCATCTTGCTTGTTCTGAGAGGTGAATTTTAAGTGTTTATTTTCCTAATCCAATATCTGCTTGGTTAGTTGAGATCAGAAGATGGTATTTCAAATGTTTTGTTTCGCTTCTTTTTCTCATTGGCAGAAATGAAAATCCATTGCTATATAGTTTCCTATTGTTTTTTCCCCTGAGACAGTGGTTATATAATGGATTATGCATGGATCTGCAGTCCTGTCCAGTGCCTTACTAAGTGACAGGGGATATACTATAATCTTTACATTCGTTGGGACAAGCAAGGAGCACAAGGACCTCATCAGGCAGGCTGTCTTGACTGCTATTTTGCTGTCAAGGTTTAAAGAAACTGCAATCTGCTCAGCCTCAAATGTTCCATGGTAGAGTTCATATTAACTCATCATGACTGTAGTTTAAGTGCCTGTAACTTAAAATTCCTCTGGGACACTTTAGATTTGAGTTTAGCCTTCAGCAAGTTGCCATCCGTCACTCCTAGCAACTGGAGACCCTTCAAGGTCAGTCTAGATGAGAGAAGAGCTCATTTTTGACTAAGACAGGGCATGGGTGATAATCACAAAATCAATTTATTGTTTATAATAACACATATGAAAGAAGACCAATAAATGAGGCCAATTATATTTTATGCTAACTATAAAAATTAATAAAACAATTCACTATTCTTTTAAGGACTTTTCCAAAGTAGGTTTTCCCAGCCCTGCCACCCCACCTTCCGTGTACTTGAAGTAAGGCTGTGGTTTTGAGAATCTGATCTATGTGGAGCTTGTTAGAGGTGGACTTGGGAGAATGGCTGCTAATGATCTCTTCTATTACCTTTCAGTCTCCCCTAGATCAAGTCAAGGAAGCTGTGAAGGCCGCCATTGATGCTGGATATCGCCACATTGACTGTGCCTATGTCTATCAGAATGAGAATGAAGTGGGAGAAGCCATCCAAGAGAAGATCAAAGAGAAGGCTGTGAAGCGGGCGGACCTCTTCATTGTCAGCAAGGTACAATGGCCCATGGTGGACATGACTTCTAGGCAAGTGGAAGTATCTGGATATGGGAAGCATCAAGAGCTTTATCTGACATTCCTCTCCGCTGTATTCCCCCAGCCCCTTTCTCCCACCTCCATCATATCTCTGGATGTACATCCACACCAAATCAGTACTAGTAAGAAAATGCTGATGCTGGTCCCTTACTGTACTGGTTCTCCTATAGTAGAGATGACTCCACTGAACCTCCTGGTGTTCTTGGCCTCCCTGTTTTCAGTCAGTGGGATCAACTCTCCAAGTGGCAGTGAGGGGTCTGGTTGGTATGGCCCCTGAACCTTACTGCCTAACACCACTGTGGTCTGAATGGCTCTGGCCTTGATGTTCTCAGATGTGTGTGTTTTAGAGATGGTGGGAGCATCATTTATTGTCATGAAGGACCCTCCTTTCATTTCAAATCAGTAAAATGTATGGATTATAAATTGTTATAAAACAGAGGTGTTGAGTGTTGGGTATTTGAGGAGTTTTGGTCCTGGACTGGACATAGCATGCTAAAGCACTCTTGTCCCAGGAAATTGTAACTGGTGTGACAGATAGGCCCACTGCTGGAGCAGTATGACCGATGTTCTTGGGGAAAAGAGAGTACTGAAAGGGTCATCTTTTCCCAGGGAAATCAGGATACTTGAACTTTAAGGATCAGACACAATTTCTGCCCTCTGAGAGCTGACAGCCAAGAAAGAGAATAACACAGGAATTTCAACTTCTAATCAGTGGTCAAATGTGCTAAATGAAACAGGACACCAAGAGTATGGAAGAACACGCATGCATGACCTTGACTTGCTGAGTGTTGGTAACCTACTGTGCTACCTTTCTTAACCAACTCTATTATATATGAATGGCCCCACTCCCTTGTCACCTGCAGCTGTGGCCCACCTTCTTTGAGAAAAGCCTGGTGAAGAAAGCCTTTCAGAAAACCCTCACGGATCTGAAACTGGACTATCTGGACCTCTATCTGATTCACTGGCCACAGGGATTCCAGGTTTGAGCTGCTCTTTGCCTCATCCTTAGCTGCTGAGCACATGCCAGAAAATAGCAGCTACACCTGAGCTGGGGGAGGGGGATGGGCTGTATCAGTAGTTTTGTGCATAGCAGAAAGCCAATGGTCTATAAAGCATGTAGTGGGACTTTCTGTCCCACCAGCCAACTCCCAAATAACCACAGAGACTTACTATTAATTATAAATGCTTGGCCAATAGCTTAGGCTTGTTACCAACCAGCTCTTACAACTTAAATTAACCCATATTTATTAATTTACATGCTGCCACTTGACTCATGGCTTGTTTCCTCATCTTCTACATGTCCTGCTTTCTCTGCATCTGGCTGAGCTCTTCCTCATCTCTGAGCTCTCTCTCCCTGTCTGTAAGTCCTGCCTACCCTCTCCCTGCCTACCTATTGGCTATTAAGCTCTTTATTAAACCACTGAGAGCAACACATCTTCACAGTGTACAAAAATACTGTTCCACAACAAAAACAGTCTAGGGCAGCATGTGGGAGCACCACGTGTTTGTGTTCTCTTACAATATGGTCTGAGAGAAACTGATTCTTGCCAGCTCAGAAAAACCACAAACTGACCTGTCATCTTCCTATTCATTCCCTGCCCAGGTCCCCTGGGCAGAGAGGGTACGACTCTCTTGGGATAGTCTTGTATAACACACTTCAAGGATGAACCCTCCTGCCATTTATAGCACCCCTGCACTGGTGAGTAGCACCCAGGAGCAAAACCCAGATATAGTAATGCTGACAGATAATATAATCTGAAAAACGACAGGTCTGTGTCTGGGACCCCACTCCTGCCTGCTCCTCAGGGTGGAAAGGGGTGGGGGAGGGTCTGCGGAGATGGCTCTGCAGTTAAGAACACTGGTTGCACTTCTAGAGGACGCAGGTTTGATTTTTAGCATCCCCATGGAGGTTCATAACCGTCTACAACTCCAGTTCCAAAGGATCAGACATCCTCTTCTTGCCTCCACAGGCACTTGACAAGCTTGTGGTTATACAGACATACATGCAGGCAAGATAACCATTCACATAAAAACAAAAAACAACCAAAAAATAGAAAAATAACAAAAAACAAAATAAAAAAAAAACGACCAAGTCTCTTTAAAAAAGTGAGTGTTGGGGGGAATTGAAGTGATGTGAATTCTCATTCTGCTGCACATGTGACCAGTTTTGGTGATGATGGCATACTATCCCAAACTTCATGTTTAGGCTGCAAGGATAGCCGCTAGTTAGTATCTTCCCCCGTTAGCCATGCCCGTCGATGTAACCTTTATCTACTAACCTTGAAGCCAAAATACCCCTCCAGTGTCTATGGGTTTAGGTATGTTGGGTTAGTTTCCATAGTGACAATAACGGCTCTTACAACATATTTAGGGCAGATGGTAAAACAGTGTCCATGAGGGTCGGACACATAGGGTCCACATTCCACAGTGGGTCGCTACAGAGACTGTACTGAAGTTTGCGGTCTGACGTGTGTTCCCCAGAGTGTGATGAATGGCTGTGTAGGCATTTCCCTCTGGTAAGCCATTGTCCTCAAACCTCGCTTCGCAGAGCCAGGCATCCAGATGTAGGTCCTAATGAGCTTTTTGTTCTGCGTTTACAGTCTGGAAATGGACTTTTCCCAACAGATGATAAAGGCAACCTTCTTGCTGGTAAATCCACATTCTTGGATGCTTGGGAGGTACGTTGCAGCTTCTCCAAGTATGCTCAGAACTTCCATCAGGCCCCCTGGACACTCCACCCTGGCGTGAAACTGCCCAAGTGCCCCGTGTCTAACTTTACCACTATGATTTACAAGTTGCCTCTCTCTTTTCTACTCATTTATTTGATTTGGGGGAAGGTGTGCTTGTGGAGGTCAGAAAACACTTGTGGAAGGAGGTTCTCTACTTCACCTATGTGAGTTTCTGGAAACTAACTTTGGTCTCTAAGTCACACAGACTGATTTTGACCTTACTCTGCCATCCAGGTGGACTTTGAATTGTGAACCTCTTGCCTTCACCCCCAACGTGGCTGTGATTATCAGCTTACACCTAGGCCCATCTGCTGTCGTAATTCCTCTCTCCGATGCCAAACACAGCTTGCTGTGCTGTGAGGAAGGCCTTGAAGATATGTGGACCCTGGTAGGAGTACCTGCCTCGGTGCTGAACTAGGGCTGAAATCTAGCCTACTGACTACCTGCCCAGCCCAAAATGAAATCAACACAAGGAGTTGGGGTTTATTTTTTTATTATCCACAGTGATCTCATTCTGAACTTTCCCAAAGATAATTATCCAACCCTACAGCACCAGCCACAAACTGAACATAAAGCTGTAATTCTTTTACTGTAAGTTCCGGTCCAGTAGTTGCTAGACTATAAACATATACAATGTGCTTCCTGCTTGAGAGTCTTTCAGCCCAGTTCAAGAGCGAAGGTTTCTGTCATCAGCCTCAGTGCTAGGCTACCTCAGCTTACTTCACTGTTCGAATAGCAAAAGAATCAGAGAGGGAAGGAAGGAATTGTCTGATCCTGGGAGAGACCTTCAAGGGAGAGTTTAAATTGGGCCTGGAAAAGGAATGTGAACAAAGGCGGTAAAATCGTAACGAGAGGCCAGACCTTCACTTTTCCTTCTGGGTCACAGCTGTCCTGGGGAGGGGTAGAACGGCTGGAACCAGCCATGGGGACACCACAGCCTAGATGGGAATCCCCTTAGGGCTTCACTGGACCTTGCCATGCAGGAGCCATTCCTCCTATTAAAGGACCAAGCCAAGCCAGCATCCCTGTATCCTCCTACAACCATCAAACGGTCTTCCTTACTGTGACAGGGCATGGAGGAACTGGTGGACCAGGGGCTGGTGAAAGCCCTGGGCATCTCCAACTTCAACCACGTGCAGATTGAAAGGCTCCTGAACAAGCCTGGACTGAAACACAAGCCAGTGACCAACCAGGTAAATTCTCTTTGCTCTGTGACTGCTTCCACACTGGGAGGCAATTTCCATACTATCTACTGAGTCTCATCTCTGAGGTCTGTGTTCAGGATGCTCGGGGAGGTGGGAGGCAGATCTCTGGTCTGGTCTGTAGCACATCTATCAGTGGGTTGCATTTGGTCTTTGCTATTTCTCCTGTAGAAAAGTCCTTCTGAGCCAATCAGAAACCCGACCTACTTCCCTAGTGACAGGTGTTTTCTCTTGCAGGTCGAGTGTCACCCATACCTCACTCAGGAGAAACTGATCCAGTACTGCCGCTCCAAGGGCATCACTGTCACGGCCTATAGCCCCCTGGGCTCCCCAAACAGACCTAAGTAAGGCTTCAGAGCAGTGGCTCTTTCTTTTAACACTCTTAAAACAGTGTTTGATAATTGGTTCATAATTTCTAAGGCACCAGGAAAAAAAAAATGTGTCTATCTTGGCAATGTGTTGGGCCACACAAGGGGGAATACAGCTGTAATAATGTTTGGGAAAACCCAACAGTAGTCCTGGCTGATGCTCAGAGAATATGCCATTTCCATCTTGCAGTGCTGGGTCACACTTTCCAATTGTTAAAGCTCCTGGTCCCATAGCTGGGCTTCTGGGAGAGACACAAAGCTCTCCTTTTTCCCCCCCTGTCTCTCAGAAGGAGAAGACTGTTGTACTCAACCTTGTCCTGGCCGTAATATTCATGGGCATGTACTAGCCATGGTGATTTTCACTCCAGCCATCTTTCTGCCTCTAGTGCCAATCCAGAGGACCCTGTAGTACTGGAGATTCCCAAGATTAAAGAAATCGCTGCAAAGCACAAGAAAACTGCAGCCCAGGTAAAATAGAGTGTTTCCCCCTTGTATCTAGCAATCCGTTCTTGAAGTCGTGTGTTTTGTTTGTATTGCTTTCTTTTAATCTGTTTGAGGGGAAGAAATGAGAAATGCCAGTCTGTTGGCATCTCCTGGTGGTGCCGCTGGCATCAGAGAGGCTGCCTCTGTTCATTATCTTCCGGTCAAGCCCTAGGCTCAGCCTCAAGAACATGGCTAACTGGACACAGTCTCAGCCCTCTGACCACAGGCTACCCTCCTCCTTCCTAACTGGGGAAACTGCAGTGCTGCTTCCAGCATCCCCTGATATAAGACGAGGACTGGCAAGTGTCTCTAATAATAGCTAAAGCCACAGAGAAACACAGATACATTTTCTTATTTATTGCACTAGGAGGGTTCCCTGTAGGTAAGTGGATACCTACTGTCCCCGCTTTGTGCACAGGTCCTGATTCGGTTCCATGTCCAAAGGAATGTGGCTGTGATCCCCAAGTCTGTGACACCCTCCCGCATACAGGAGAACATTCAGGTAAGACGTGGGCTGAACATCTGCTATTCCTCAGGGGAGTGGGGCTTTAATCCCACTCCTTCAGGGCCAGTGTGTCTTCCCTTCCAAGTAGCTACTTGATCGACACTTAGGCTAGGGAGCTGGCCTCAGCAGAGCTGCAGCGAACACGTGGGCCACGGATGGGTTGGTGGCAGGCACTAGCAAAGGCCTGTCAGGTCTGAGCACATGCGCTTTATCCACAGCCAAGATTCTGGCTTACAATTGAGCACTTAGATCACAGGCCACACACTGTCCTGGTCAACTGTGGACTGTCTTGGTCTACTCACCCCTTTTTCAAAGGGGATAGAATGGATTGAAAAAACCATGTCTCTGATAGACCCCCTCAAGGATTTCAGTCATTGCACACACTGTGTATACCTCCTTGCGTAATACTAATACTTCTAAATAATCCAGCCATAATTTAGAGAATAATTTGGATGCATTGTGTATATAATGGGAGAAACAACCTTAGATCCCAACAACACTTCCCTTGCTAAGGATGTTTTCGGAACTTTCTAGGTCTTTGACTTCCAATTGAGTGATGAGGAGATGGCCACTCTTCTCAGCTTGAACAGAAACTGGAGGGCCTGTGTCCTGCGTGCGTAAGTGGCACCCGGTTAAGTATGAGGGTGATCAGGCCTTTCTGTAAGGTTGTAAAGGGTAAGTGGGAAGGAATAAAAGGAATGTAGGATTAGGGATGGCTTCAAATACTATTTTCTGGCAGTTGTGAAAAATGAACGTCTGAGTCCTGGGGAATCACCAGGAGTAGAGACATTGTTATTTGATGCTCATTTTCTGAATCTTACACACACAGGAAGGAGTTATCACTCCTCTGTGGGAGCCAGAGTTCTTTTTTTTTTCCTTTTTTTAAAATTTATTTTATTTTATTTTACAATTCCATTCAGTTCTACATATCAGCCACAGGTTCCCCTATTCTCCCCCCTCCCACCCCCTCCCCTTACCCCCAGCCCACCCCCCATTCCCACCTCATCCAGGGCAAATCCTCCCCCGACTGGTAGACTCAGTCCAGGCAGGTCCAGTCCCTTCCTCCCAGACTGAGCCAAGTGTCCCTGCATAAGCTCCAGGTTTCAAACAGCCAACTCATGCAGTGAGCACAGGACTTGGTCCCACTGCCTAGTTGCCTCCCAAACTGATCAAGGCAATCAACTGTCTTACCTATTCAGAGGGCCTGATCCAGCTGGGGGCCCCTCAGCCTTTGGTTCATAGCTCATGTGTTTCCATTCATTTGGCTATTTTTTCAATAATTGAATAAAACCGAAATTTATTATAAGCCACAGTCATCCTAGGGACCTCCATGCTATATATATAGCCTCCATGGTTCTATGGGTTGTGGTCTGATTGTTCTTTATTTTATATCTAGAATCCACTTATGAGTGAGTACATACCATGACTGTCTTTCTGGGTTTGGGTTACCTCACTCAGGATGATTTTTTCTAGTTCCATCCATTTGCCTGCAAATTTCATGCTTTCATTGTTTTTCTCTGCTGAGTAGTACTCCATTGTGTATATGTACCACATTTTTTTCATCCACTCTTCCATTGATGGGCATCTAAGTTGTTTCCAGGTTCTGGCTATTACAAATAGTGCTGCTATGAACATAGCTGAGCATGTATCTTTATGGTATGAATCAGCATTCCTTGGGTATATGCCCAAGAGTGGGATGGCTGGGTCTTGAGGTAGTTCGATCCCTAATTTTCTGAGAAACCGCCATACTGATTTCCACAGTGGTTGTACAAGTTTACATTCCCACCAACAGTGGAGGAGTGTTCCCCTTGACAGCCAGAGTTCTTATTCCCTCTTAGATCATACCTGTTGCTTCTACGGAACAATTTCTTCTCCATGCTTGTTGCTGCAGGGCAAGTCATATTGAGGACTTTCCTTTCCACGTGGAATATTGAAGCTGAACTACCTGATGAGCTTGCCCAGTGGCCCCTCTTCGATGATGTGAAATCCACTCCTCAGGACTACTATTTTTGCCCAGCCTACCAGATATCACACCAAGCCAGCCATGATAAGGCAATTCTAATTTTCATGCCCAACTAGAAGCAGACTGTCACAGAGAAATGTGACTCAGCAAAGGACAATGGTTTTCATTAATTTAATCTGGCCAAATGTCTGTCTAACCCCAGGAATACTGGTAATCCTGAGGCTATAAAGATAAAATAATAAAAATAACAATAGTCACAAACATTTTCAACACCTTCAGAAGTGCTTTTTGAACGATGGACTCATCGGGTCCAACTTTTCATCATTCATATTGCTGAGGGCCCCAGGAAATAAGGGGCTAAAGCAAGTTTTAAAGGAAGCTCTCTGAGAGAGCTCAAGGCACTTTGAGACCCTCCTCTTCCCAAGCCTTCTCCTGAAGCATCAATCTAATTAATCTTTATCAATAAAAAAAAAATGGGAGTCAGAGAAAGAACCTGAAAGATCAGAGAAGCAGCGAGCAGCTACCAGTCGCCTCATACCTCTTCCGTTCCTCCGTCCAGAAGGGCTGAAATCCTCTCTCAGCCCTGCCTTACTACTTCCTGCCTCCTCTCTGTCCACAGTCCTCCAAACCTCTATGGTTAATTTTGGTCGGCTTGTGGCTGGCTCCACCCTCTGACTCCAAGCAAGCCTTATTTGTCAGAACACAAAATATCACACAACAATGCCCTGGCCAGTACTTTCCTCTTCCCCGACGGCTTTCTTGACTGTCTCCTCTTGTTGCTCTTTCATCCTGCCTTTGAAATGCCTCTTGACAAAGGGTCAATACTGTTGGTGTAAGAGCCCTTAAAATTCACACAATTCCACCGTTCCTTGAAAGTATAACATTTCTGGGAATGGGGCAGGGAATTGGGACGTCTGGATAGGACATTTACTATTGCCATTAATCTGGAACATGTCCTTCTTTCTATAGAGAACTATTTTTAGAAACCATTTCTAGAAAACATTTTTAGAAACTATTCCAATAATCTAGGAATGTCCACAAGAGAGCACAATGAGCAACTGGCCATCCATTTTACAAATTAAATAATTAAAATACATAATGCTAACGTTTTGCCACATTTAGTCCAAATGCTTTTTAAAAAGAAATTTATTAAAGAACCAAGTAGTAGTCTGGACAGTGGAGGACCACTCTATACTGCCCTCATCCTTGTTCCCCATAATCAGTGTCCACTGAAGACAACTGAGTCACCTCATTCTCTGCTGCTCATGGCCCTCCCTATGCTCATATAAATTTCCTGCTCTGCTCTTCCCCAGGGCCCATGGGGATGGGCAGACACCTGCTATCCAAATATCCTAGTCAGATGGCTTCTTGTGTGATTGCTCAGTGAGGTTCTCTTAAGAGGCTGAAAATCTGCAGAAAGAGAAAGGCATTAGTATATCTGTCCACGCAATCCCAGCTCTTTCTTGAAGCCTCCACGTTGATTCTGATTCCTACCAGTTGACACCACTTTTGGGGTTAGGGCATCCCATGCCTCCTAGAAGAGTTGGTTGTTTTTACTCTTTACTCCCTGGGGGACCCACCACCCAGCTCCTAAATAATTGTACAGAGGCTTATTCTTACGAATGCCCTGTGGGAGTCCAGCTCCCACCTTTCAAAGAGTTCTTGGGGGGAGGAGAGAAGAATGAGGAAGTATGAGAAATATAGCAGAGATGCAGAGAAAGACAGAGATACAGGATAGCTTCGGGAATGTCCTGGGTCAATACCCAGTCACCTCAAGGCTTATTCCAAAAGGCAAAAGACCTCCCCCTTTCAAGATCAAAGCACAACATACAGCCAAGTGTAGACCCTTCAAAACACCTGGTAACCACGCCTGTGGCCAAATCATCCCATTATGCAGCCCTGCTGGGTAAAGCAAGCCCAGATTCTCTGACCCTGAGGAAGGTCTCACTAGAGAGCCTCTATGGGTCCCTACATGCCCAGCCTTAGCTTGGCTTGTTTCTAGCCAGCTTCTCTTAACTTAAATCATCCCATCTACCTTTTGCCTTTGGGCTTTTATCTTTCTCTATTCTATATATCTTTCTTTAGTTTTTACTCTGGGGCTGGTTGTGTAGCTTGTGGCTGGCCCCTGATGTCCTCTTCTCCTTCTCCTTCTCTCACTCCACCTTCTCTTTTTCTTCTATTTATTCTCTCTGCCTGACAGCCCCACCTGTCCTTTTTCTCCTGCCTAGCTATTGACCAATCAGGTCTTTACTAGACCAATCAGGTGTTTTAGACAGGCACAGTAACATAGCTTCAGAGAGTTAAACAAAGGCAACATAAAAGAATACAACACATCTTTGCATCATTAAACAAATGTTCCATAGCATAAATGAATATAACACATCTAAAAATAATATTCAACAATAGGGAGCGGTGGTCTCTACCTGCTGCTGCTCACCTTGGAATCACCTCCTACTCTTTTGCTCGATATCCCTGCTCTTCCATCAAGGTTGCAGAAGGGTGGAGCTCGCTTTTGAGGCTTTGATGTTTTCGGCCTGGACTCTCCCTGACTCTGGTGATTGCTGGAATCCTTGTGGCTCTTGGCTGTGTAGCTGCTGGACTCATTTCTTCCTCTGCCTTCCCATGATGTTCTTACTCCAGTCCTTGGATTCATGACCCACTCTCACCATTATACTCTCCCACCAAGACGAGAGCTGTGGAATCTTAGAGGGAAGCAGATTTGTGAGAATAAAAATATCCACAAGGCCAGCCTGTGCTCTCTAAGAACCTCTTCTCCTGGTGTTAACTATAAAACAATACTTGTAATAATGAGCTAGCCTGATGTTGCGGATATTTATTTCTAGCACTGAGGAGTCTGAAGCAGGAAGATTGCAAAAAGATCCAGGCTGGCTCTAGCAGCTATCAGGGGCCTTGTGGAGAGCCTGCTCCAAGACCACCTCCAGGGTAATGCAAGAAAATCCACGAAGGTGGCGAGGACTAGACTTTTTCTGAGGGTATTTAGAAATGAGGTTCTGACTGGTAAAATAAGAAAACACACATTTTCTGATGTTAACTTTCTCTTTTACTTCATCTTAAGAATGTCTCTAACTTTCCTGTCTCCTCATTGCTACATATCCCCACACTGCTACATTCTACACATACAGCTACATACATCTGTCTCTGCATACATACAGCCATACATCTCTATACACAGTTACATCTGTTTACACATGTCTACACACCTTTCTTCTACATTATTCACTCACTCTTTACTCACTCTTTCACCCACTCATTCCCTCACACTTCTCTCATATGTCTTCTTCATCTTCATCTCTCACCCAGCATGCACACACACACACACACACACACACACACACACACACACACACACACACACACA